TCGAGATGTTAACTAATTGTCATCTTAGTAACACTCCCCAACATTAATATAGAGATAGTATTAAGGGAAAAATTAATATTCAAGGAAGAAGATTAAAGAAAATAACTCACAACTTACAATTCATTAAGCTTCAAAGTAGCAAAACCAAGATGGAAAGACTACCTAAATTACAAGAATAAAGTGTATATGAAAGAGGGGATTAAATTGGTATCTAAAATAGGAAGGAAAGAGGTGTTTTATAGGAGAAGTGAGGTGGTTGGGTCTAAGACATAATCTGATTTTCCCATGTTCACTTGCTTTATTTGATCTCTTATGATCTCCGGGTCGAATCATATCCGATTTTTCACACATCTTTGTCCTCCATGAAGCTTCCTCTTGTCTCCAATGCTCCTTCCTTATGCTCCCAAGCTCCTTCCTCTTCTTTTCATCATGTTTTTGCTTACATGTCAAAATATCTTAATATCTTCTAATTCTTCTTTAATTTTAGAAGATAAAGATTACACCGTAATTGTACAAAAGCTAAGTAAACATAATGTACGTAAAACCATTCTAAAATGTGGTGTTTATGTACTACTAAATAGTACGCATCACATCCCTAGTATTCTTTAGCTCACACCCTGCTCGTGGGATCAACCACTTATTCCTAAGGTAATTATCGATCTCCCCCCCCCCCCCCCCCCCGCAAATCTGCCCTCATCCATTGACCATAAGGTCTTGCACTCGTGTTTGATGGGCAATATTTGTGTCGGTATGTCCTAGAATTCCACAAATAAAACATAGATTTGGGAGCCTCTCATATTTGAAATATGCCGAGAACCAGTTGTGTCCTTCCCCCTTAACTTGTGTTCTTTCCTTCAGAGCATTCCTTATGTTTAGCAAAACACGAATGCGAACATACTTTTTGTTTTTCCCATTCAGAGTTCTTTCATCGATCCGTACTAGTTTCCACAGGTATTCGTCCAATCCCAGTCATCACTGTCTCGGTCATAAAGCGTAACGGTAAATTATGGATCTGGACCCAAAATTCTTCTTGATTTAGCTTAACCTCTAATGGGCTCTCCTTAGATTCCACCATTCTAATAACAACTAAATTTTGGTCATAGGACCACATGTCATCTTGCAAAACACGTGCAATATCATTTTCGTGATAAAACTAGATCATAAACCACATATCTCTGATTTGTTCAATACTCACCCCTTTACTAGGGCGCCAGATCATCGCCATCGTCTCTCGAAAGGAGATGGGACGGACATGTTTATCCGTGACAAACCTAGCAGCAACAAAGAATCGTGAATTTTCTCCCACACCGCTGCTAACTTTCAGCGCTCCAGATTCAAACACCAGACCACTATTATCTTCTTCCTCTATCGACATTTTCCCATATTCTTCAGTAATTTTTTCCATTGAGGTAAAAAACCATACAAGAACAAAGATATTGCGCAAGAACAGAACTACACTAAAACCAACGACACAAAACTGCTCAAAAAACGTTTATCGTCGAAACGCAGGCAAAACTCGGCCAGAGTCTGGAGCTCAGCCGGACACTATCAATCGGAAAAGCAGATAAAAAACGGAAGCAAATTAGAAGCTGGACGGAAACCTTACCTCCATACGAAATCAGTGCTTGAGCATGCCCTATGGAGTTCTCAACCCTGTCGTGGACGTTGCTACTGCAGTCGTACGTCCATCTGTGATGGTCTACGCCGCCGCACTAGGGTTTCATTTCTTCCAAATAATTACCCATAATTCTTCCTTCTTAATTAATATCCACATTGTACATTCGTCAAAATTGTCCAATTTTGAATGTGCTAATGAACATGTACAGTTGTGTGTATACGCCAACAAACATGGTTTGAAAACCCCATAATGCTATGCACTTGAACGCTTCTATCTGTCCCCTAATAGTTTGTCTATTTTCATACAAAGTATAAAATTGTGAACTGTGGCCATTAATATTCATATATACTCCTTATTACATTACTTTTAAACCAACTTGCATGCTTGTTTTAATAATAGTATAACATTTTATTCATTAAAAAAAAGAGTATAGCATTTTAAATAATAACCGATTTATCTTTTATTGGTAAAAAATTATTACTTTCGTCCCAAATTATTTTGCAAAGTTGACATTTTATGATCAACCAATGTCAAATTTGAATCCTCTCTATAATAATTAATTCAATTTTTGTAATTAAAATTTGCTTATACAAAAACTACATTAAAATCTCTATCAAGTTACAAAATTCAAATTAAAATTTAATTAAGTTAAAATTCATAATCTAATCAAGTGAATAAAATGAATTTGTTTAACTAAAAAAGTCAACTTTATATTTGCAACTCAATTTGGTGACGGTGTAGACACCTAATAATAAATCTAAATAAATGAATACATGACTATTGGATTGAGGAGTCATCGGCCGGTATTGGAAGGAGAAAACATTGGTGGAGCCAAACACGCCGCTAAGGCTCGTTCCAATGTTTTTACAATTTCAGTCATGGTCGGTCGATCCCTGCCCGGCATGCAGCATCACACAATCCGCTGCTAGGTAACCAACACAGGCCACTTCCTCCATCTCAAATGGCGTCGGAGACGGAACCCTAACGTCCAAAACCCTAGCGATATTGTCTTGAAGTATGTACGGAACCACATAGTCCACCACATTTATGGGCACTCCTTTTTCGTTCTTCTGAATTGCTCTCCGTCCCGAGAGCAACTCAAGGAGTACTACCCCGAAACTGTACACGTCGTTCTTCGTTGTCACCACTTGCAACCGGTAGTTCTCGGGGTCCATGTACCCCATTGTGCCCGCTGCAAGTAGCGAGACGTGCGACACGTCGTCGTCGCAGCCTTTCGGTCCCACCACAGACAACCCGAAATCGGACACCTTGGCATTCCAATTGGCATCCAATAGAATGTTGGATGACTTTATGTCGCGGTGGATGACTTGTGGGACGGCATACTCGTGAAGGTACTCGATTCCCCGGGCCACGTCTAGAGCCACACGGATCCGAGCGTTCCACGACATGAGTCGGAAGGCTGTGACATTATTCGTGTCGCTGCTGTGGAGATGATGATGGAGTGTGCCATTCTCCATGAACTCCAAAATTAGCATTCTCTCAGCATTGTCATAACAACAATACCCTATTAGCCGTAATACGTTTTTGTGATTGAGCCAATACATAAAACCTCGCTCGTTGAGGAATGCTCGTTTGTTGTTCACTTGGACCCCGTGATACCGTTTGGCACGGCCATATAGGGCTGAGTAGGACGAGGAAGAGGAGGACGCGGAAACCTCAGCTCTCTTGATTTACATATTCCGAAACTAGCAAACTACAAATTAGAATATAATTAAAAATTGACATCCTAATTAAGCAAATAAAATGAAACTGTTTGATCAAGAAAAGTCAAATTTGCAAACCATTTTGGGATAGAGGTGACACTAAAATAAAACTAACTTTCAAAAATATGATAACATGTATATTTACACAAAAATGTCACTGAGAGTTATATACGTAGTATTTGAAAGAAATATGAAGTGACCGGCTGACCTCCAAATATTAATGTCAATTTTCATGTCGCCACCGTCCCTGTCATTGCCGCTGCCATCGCCCATGTCACTGCCGTCGCCTGCCCGCCGCCGATCACAGTGAAACTTCCGCAGTGACATACACACAATTAGGGGTGGGCACGGTTAGTGGCAAAGCCACTCTTGTTCAAAGTAGTTCACATGAACACCCATTTTTTTAAAAAAATGTAGTCATATATGTATAAATTCAATTATATTTATTTATTACTCTTTAAATGTCTAGTTATAAAAAAACATTGAACATCCAAAATTTATACTCCAACTCCACCACTAGGCACGGTCCGGTCCAATATTTCATCAAACCCGTACCCGTATCGTGACTATTCAAATGGTTCGGTTCGGTTTTAGTCCTAAATCCGTTAGGTGCGATTTCATTTTCAAACGGGACAATATAGTAGCATGTCATAACAATACCAAACAATGTCATTTTTTCCAAGTGTTTAAGAGGAATTTAAATTTGGGGTTTTTACAATAATATTACTAAAATAAAACTTATTTACATAAATATGACTATTCATTACTACAACGTAGTGTTGTAGTAACTTAAGTTCGAAACTTGAACATGAATTACTATGTTTTCATTACTACTCTAGTAACTAATGATATTTTTGTAAACCATCTTTATTTTGGTCATATTAATGTAATTATTTCTTTAAATTTTAGCCGTCCTCCAAAAAATGACACATAATTAATAAATTTCTGATCATGAGATAAACTATGGTAGTACAAATTCAAATAATTAAACCATATTTGGGTCCGGTTCCAAGCTTCTGGTGAACTAGCAAAAGCTTCTGGTATAAATGTACGCTTAAATAAATAAAAATGCACATTTAAATAATTAAACAATACTTCGGTCTGGTTGGGTCTAGTACCGGTTCTCATGGTTTCATCGCGTATCTCCATGGACATTTCACACCTCTCAGAATCACATCCCTCCATCGGATCTCTGTGTTCTTCGTAGTCAATCTTGCCATCGCCACTGGTTTTCAATGAGAACCGATCGTGGCATTGTTTGAAACCAGTACGGTCTGGTTCGAGACAAAAAGTTGAAATACATTTCAAACCTCGTTTTTTGGTCCGGTTCGGCACCAATCATGGTTCTCATTTTATGAGAACCGATCATGTCATTGTTTGGAACCGGTACGGTCTGGTTTGGGACAAAAAATTGAAATCCATTTCAAACCTCGTTTTTCGGTCCAGTTTGGAATATTTGCCCACCCCTACACATAGTTACTCCGGCCATCACCAATCACCACCATGATCCCACCGTTAGTGTATCAACGATAAAGGATAAAGGATAAGAAAACAAGGGTCAGAACGACTCAGTTAGTTTGTTATTTAACTAATTAGAGCTTAGCTGGCAGTTCTAGAATTTTCTTTTCCCTTTCTCTTTGTAGTAACTATTGTATATAAATAGCTACTCCGTACCATCGAACAATAAGAAGAAATGAGATGAACCATTATTCTTCCTCTAACAGATTTCATTTCGATTATCTTCTTCCATAAGTTTTCTTCTCAAATCTTCTGCAACTTATCTAAGATGGTATCAGAGAGTTAGAAATCAAACCTACTCAAACTCAAATTCAACAATGGCTCCAAGTTCTGAAACAACATTCAATAATGATCCAACTCAAAATCCAAGCTCTCCCTATTATGTTCATCCAAGCGAGAATCCAGGAATCGCACTTGTATCTCCAGTTCTTGATGGAGACAATTACAATCATTGGAGCAGATCCATGAAGATGAGTTTGATATCAAAACAAAAATTGAGCTTCGTAGATGGAACGATAAAGATGCCATCAAAGAACGATACTCTATATCCTGCCAGGGAGAGAGCAAATAACATTGTAAGTTCTTGGATCATCAAATTTGTCTCTCCATCAATTGCTCAGAGCATCCTCTGGTTTGATAAAGCGCAAGATATTTGGGAAGAACTAAAGGAACGTTTCTCGCAAGGTAATTTGTTCAAAATCGTTGATCTGCAAGAGACAATAGCGAATTTTAAACAAGGCGATATGAATGTTACCAATTATCTTACTGAATTGAAGACATTGTGGGATGAATGAGACATTCTCAGACCTTTATCTGAATGTACCTGCGAAATTAAGTGTCCATGTGATGCTATCAACAAAATGAAACAGTATAGGGCTGAAGACAAGGTCACTCATTTTCTCAAAGGGTTAAATGATGTGTATGGAGTGGTCAGATCACAGATAATGCTGATAGACCCTTTACCTGCTATGAGTAAGGTGTTTTCCCTAGTCATACAACAAGAAAGGCAAATCTATAATCAAGACACTGATAGCAAGATTATGGCAGTCTCTGGGTCAAACAACAGAAGCAATGGTGTTACAAGTTATCACAAAGGAAGCAGTCCTAATCCTAATTAAAAAGGATCAAATTACAATCCTAACTACAAGGGGAACAAAAGTCAAAACAATGGGAAAATCTGCGATTACTGTGGGAAAGGTGGACATACATCAGACACATATTACAGGCTGCATGGATTTCCAGCAAACTTCAAATTTACAAATAACAAAACTGTGAATTCTGTGAATGCTGAAGAGGAAGAAACTCATACTGAACAAATCAAGCATGCTTCTGCTAATCAAAGGACAAGCTCAGAAAATACCATGTTTGGTATAAGTCAAGATCAATATCAAAGGCTTCTCAATCACCTCCAACAGACAACCATGCATGGGAACAACCTGCAAACCATTACCCAGAACACACAAAAGAGCAGTGTGATGGCAATTCAACTACTTCACAGAATCCTATTCTTGACAATCAATCTGGTAAAAATATCTCTAGTTGTGCCTTTTCAAGTAAAGTTTGGCATAGAGTCAGGACGTGACTGGACATTCCTAGGGAGATGGGGACCATGCTGAGCTCGTTGAAATGGATCAAGAGGAAGAGACAAGGCTCGGGGATCAAAGCTAAGGCGGCTATTCCATCTACTGGATCTGGAGAACCCGGAATGCTACATGCTTTGATGGCCTTGTTCCCAAAGAAGAAGACATTTTTGCGAGGATTCAACACATTGTTTACAAGATTTTGTATGGTCTTTATCTGCATGAACTTGTAAAGTTGTGACTTGTTGTGCCTAACCATCTCTTTGTTTGGTTTGGGCGTTTCTTGTGGCTATTTTTTGGGCTTGTTTGTGCTTAACCACCGCTTGGTTTTGGTGTGGGGTTTTGCTTGTTTTGAGCTCTTTTGCTGGGTTTGGGTTATCCATGTTTGGATAACTTGCAGTTTTTGTTTCCCTTTTTGTTTGTACATTTTGAACCTCTGTTTTCTTGGGTTGTTTTTTAATATACTTACAGTTCATCCAAAAAAGAGCCCATTTGTTAGAACATAAAATTTATGAAGTTCTGTCTGAAGTGGCTGCATTGGCTGATTCTGCTGATTTAAGAAAAAAATATTTTTAAAATATATTTTATTAATAAAATAAAGAAAAAATTATATGTAAAAAAGCTAAAATGATCATCTACAGTAACTTCAGCCAATACGATAACAACAACAACAACAACAACATCGAAGCCTTAGTCCCAAAAGATATTGGGGTCGGTTAATATGAATCGATATATGATATCACCACCAAAAGAAAAGGAAAGAAAATAAAGATAAAAAGGATAAACTATTATGAAAAATATAATATAAAAAGAGATGAATATATCTAAAAATGATAAAATAAAAAAAGGATAAAAATAATGTCTATATATATGAGGATAAAAGGATAAAAAAATAAGAAAAAATAAATGAAGGGAAAAGATAATACGAGATCACTCCTTCACACGAATACCCGCTCTCCACTTTCCTCTCTCCAAAGTCATACACTCATCTAACCCAAGAAGAAGCATATCACTTCGGACTCTCCTAACCCACATCTGTTTGGGTCTTCTTCTTCCTCTCTTCCCTGCCTCTTCTCCACACATCTCAACTCGTCTGACAGGTGCATCACTCAGTCTTCTACGCACATGACCAAACCACCGTAAGCGCGACTCCCGCATCTTGTCTTCAATATGTGCTACTCTCACCCTTTGTCTGATTGTCTCATTCCTCACGTGGTTATTACACAATTCAGCGCGCGAAAACAAAAATTACGTGTTTGGTGAAAAAGTTGTCTGATAAGCCTGATAATCGAAAAACAGTGGTTTCAAACAGCCTCTAAATATAGTATTTCTGTAAACCACTTTTATTTTAATCATAAATATATGTATGCTCGTAATTATTTTTGGAACTTTTGTTTTGTCATATACTCCGTAATAATAAAGCAATAGCATCATACTCCTTTATGACGTGTACGATATTTCAAACTAGACACACTTATACAAGTAAAGGTAGGTCTAAAGGATGCATATTATACTGCGTATGTACATTATACACTCTGCGTAGTATGTACGTACATTTAGTAGTTATTTTATAATCTTTTTTGTTTGTTTACTATTTAAAAAATGACAAAAAGTATTTCACCGTATTCTATACGTTTGAAGGAGGGTTTTTATAAAAATATTACTAAAATAAAACATATTTAGGGGTGTTTGGAATTGATTCTGCTTCTGCTTCTATTTTAAAGCAGAAGCAGAAGCAGAAGCAGTTTTCAGAAGCTGGTCACCCCTAGCTTCTAAAAAAACTGATTCTAGGAGTAAAAAAAGCATCAGAATCACTTCTGCACTTTCACCCAAACACTCCAGTTTCTGCTTCTGCTCTCTCAGAGAGCAGAAGCAGTTTCAAGAATCAGATCCAAACACCCCCTTACATAAATATGAGTATATGACTATTCATTACTACAATGTGGTGTTGTGGTAACTTAAACTTAAAATTTGAACATGAATTACTATGATTTCATTACTACTCTAGTCACTTGTCATATTTTTATAAGTCATCTTTATTCTAGTCATATTTATGTAATTATTTCAAAATATTATGTATATGGAATTACAAATAATGGATCAAATGATACAAAATCATCTACTTTACAAACTACAAACTCATCTTATTTATTCGATGAGTTGATCTAAAAAGCTATAGATAACATAAATAAATACAACACAAGTTTCATGCATTTTTTAAATCCACAGGGTGCTAATGCGTCAAATTTATACGATAGTATGAAATTCTCCGTATATCACAAGTTTGGTACATTAAACCCTTTATTTTATTAGAAAAATAAATTTTCTTTTTTCAGTAAGTATAAAATATGCTTAAAGTTTACTAAATAATGCATATCAATAGAAGAATTGTTATTACCGCGTAATTTCTAAGAGTGATTTTCCTTTTTCTTTAAATTAAAAAACAAGTTAAAACATAGAATTAAAAAGTACTACCACTGCCCCACTGACATTGAGACAAAAGAAAGTAATACGGTTATAAGAAAAGTTAGTTTATGTTGTTGATATAGAATTCAAAAAATAAGAATAAAGTACATATGATTTAGAATCCCATAAAGTTTATCAAATTTTTTATGTGATAATCTTAGTAGAATTTTCCAAAAGTAAAAACGAGACAATCTTAGCGGGAGAACGAATATAATCTCACTCAAAATGCAGGAGGTGATTTAAGGAGTGTTTGGGGTTGCTTAAAAAAAGCGCTTTTCAGCTTTTGGCTTAAATAAAGCTGAAAAGGGTGTTTTCAAATGACAGCTTCTATTTAAATTAATCACTTAAAAGCTAAAAGCTGGAAGCAGGTAGTAGGGTGCTTTAAATTGTTTCACACTTTTTCTATTACACAAAAGTACTTATTTTACCGAACACTACCAACTTTTACTTTTTCAGAATCACTTTTTTTTCAAACACTACCAACTTTTACTATTAATCACTTTTTCCAAAATTACTTTAAAAAAGGAAAAATTGATAATAATAATCCCAACTATTGGCGGTCCGCTCATAATAATCCCAACTATTGATTATTACAGAATAATCCCAACTTTAGGGACCTTCCGCCAATAATGGTCCCTATGAATAAATTCTTGTAGTTTCTAAAGTGGATGGGGTGAGATATAACAAGTAATCCCTCTAAATAATCTTAACTTTTAGTTTTTACACTTAATTTCTATTTAAAATTCACTTTTTATAGAGGTAATATATGGTCATGGACCATTATTGGCGGATAGTCTATATAGTTGGGATTATACAAAAATAATCAATAGTTGGGATTATTTTCAGCGGACCAGCAATAGTTGGGATTATTGTTTTCAATTTTTCCTTTAAAAAATCACTTTTTTAAAGTTGAAGCAATTGCAAACACTCCCTTAAGACGGAAAGAGAAAGCGCACGATACTAGAGCACGTACGTAGTGATATCCTTGCGAGCATTAATCACTAAGAAATTAGTTTGACAACTACCTATGAGGAGTTATGGTTATATGTCACCCAAACAAATATCGTCCGAACTGTCATCATTTTCTAATGGAAAGAAGTAATGCCAATTCCAGAGTTTCTTCTCAACAATTTTGTTTGAGAGATGATAGCAGTGGGTTTTGGTTTGGTTGGTACAGAAGTTACCGTGGTGGGAGATGGGGGTATCTTTTCCCCACTACAGAGAGCTATTTTGGCCGCTTTCGATTTATCACATCTCCCCATTAAAAAAGTTCCCTTGTCCAGTTTTGCCTCCCTGTCACCTCAACTTCAAAGTGCCGATCTCAGTATCTCCCCTCCCTCCTTCTCTCCACCTTCCATTATCCGCTCCTAGTCTCTCTCATCATCATCACAAACTAGATTAGCAATCTTTTCTTTTGTTTCTTTTTGCCAATTCCCTGTACACCAATATAAGAATCTTCCACCTCAGTACCAATCCTCTGTGAAATCACACTCTTCTTGCTTCTCCATTTTGGGTCAATCTGCAAAACAAGTTCCCCGCATTGAAGAAAAAGCAACAAGCTTATATAGGTGCAGAATTTTGCATCACCTCAAATTATGGCATTTAGGTGCTTTTTTTTAGTTTTCATGGAGTATCCAATTATTTGTTTTTGATTCATTCTTTCCTCAGCCCTTTCTGTCATTTTCCCCTTTTCAGGTCTCCTGCTGCACTGCCAAACAAAAAAGCTGTCTTGGTATAATTTTGCTGAAGCCATGTATGTGAGCTGCTTCAAATGGAGATCAGATTATGTGGTGAGTTAACACAACCAGAACCCCAATTTGACTTGTCAAGCTCTTATGTGTTCCATGTTTGTAAATTGTGAGTCTTATATGTGTTGTCCATTCCATATTTGATTTCACTACAGTATTATCAGCTGTGTTGTCCATTAATGAAACATGTTAGCATATGTGACAGCTAGTTGATTGTTATGAACCGACTTTTTCCTATAAAGATTTAAATGATTAGTATGTAATGGTCATTCACTCATTCTCCTTTTATAATTCTCCTTTTTCCTACAAATACTTCCTTGACCTGTTTTTTCTACAGCTACTTGCTTCGCTGGGTTTTTACGTGGACATTGTGAGTATACTTGTAGTTATAGAGAAGAAAGTAGAAAAAAGAAAAAGCATGATTGAGAACCGGGAGATGGAAAAAGTAAAAGATGAAGGATACTTCTTGTAAAGAAGTAATGACATTTATGCTTTTTTATTTTATACTCTTATAGTGTTAGTTGCCAAAATCAAAAGTGAGACAAAAATAGTGAACTTTAGCAAAAAATGTACTGAATGGAGTAGATCCGGCCAAGTCTGGACTGCTCTGATATGGCGTGGATCGGTCCACTCCGGTACTGTAAACATATTATGAATTATGATAACAAATTCTTGGTAGTATTTTATGTTTATTTATCATAAAAGGATGCTTTACTGTTATGTGTAATGATTGATACCCTTTTTGTTTCAGCTATTGCATCTAGTTAGTATGGGCACCCTCATCATCATGGCAATAATGAAGACTTAATTAAAGAGTCTGTCTTTCCCTAGTGAGGATTATTTATGTGTTGCTCACCCAGTTATTCCACCATGGACAGAAACCAAAAGCGCCTCTTCCTCCGAATTCTTTCAAGTCTTTTACTCCTGTCCTTGTTTTTCAACCCATCCACACCTCTGAGTGTGGAAACTGAGGCCCTTTTGGAATTCAAAAAGCATCTCATTGACCCCTTGAGTATCCTTGTTTCATGGAATGATTGGGAAAGCCCCTGCCATTTTCATGGTATTACATGTGATCCAAAAACTGGTTTAGTTACTGAAATCTCACTTGATAACCAGAGTCTCTCCGGAGTGATATCACCGTCGATTTCTTCCCTCCAAAACCTCACATCTCTTGTGCTTGCATCAAATGCCTTATCTGGGATTCTCCCAGCTGAACTTATCAACTGTACAAATCTCAGAGTCTTGAATGTTACTGGAAATAATATGAATGGGACCATCCCTGATTTGTCAAAGCTGACTAATTTGGAGGTTCTTGATCTGTCCATCAACTATTTTTCTGGAGACTTTCCAGCTTGGGTTGCAAATCTTACTGGTTTGGTCTCGTTAGGCCTCGGCGATAACAATTTTGATGAAGGGGAAATTCCAAAGAGCATTGGGAATTTGAAGAAGTTGAATTGGCTTTACCTGGCCGGATCAAATCTGAGAGGAGAAATCCCAGAGACCATTTTCGGCTTGGAGGAATTGCAGACACTGGATATCTGCAGGAATCACATCTCTGGGAATTTCCCAAATATGATAGGCAATTTGCAAAATCTCTACAAAATCGAGCTCTACGCCAATAATCTGACGGGTGAGCTTCCATCTGAGCTTGCCGCACTCAACCTATTGCAGGAGTTTGATGTTTCAGATAACCAGATGTACGGTGCACTGCCTTCGGCTCTTGGAAACCTTAAAAACTTGACAGTTTTTCAGGTGGCCAGAAACAACTTCTCAGGAGAAATCCCTCGAGGCTTTGGAGATATGCAGCGTCTTATTAGTTTTTCCTTATTCGAGAACAGTTTCTCAGGAAATTTTCCGGAAAATCTTGGCAGGTTTTCACCACTGGTTAGCTTAGACATTTCTGAAAACCAATTTTCTGGAGGACTCCCCAAGTACTTGTGTCATAATGGGAAATTGCGTTATTTGCTTGCAGTGGAAAATCATTTCACCGGGGAGTTTCCAGACGCTTATGCCGCCTGTATGCCTTTAGAGAGGTTGAGGGTCAGACAGAATCAGCTATCTGGAAAAATCCCCGAAGGGGTGTGGGCCCTTCCAAATGTAAAAATGATTGATTTCAGTAATAATGGTTTCAGTGGATTTATTTCTCCTTGGATTGGATCTGCAAAAAATCTGAAGCAGTTAATTCTCTCAAACAACAAGTTCTCGGGTTGGCTCCCAAACGACCTAGGAAATCTCATGCTCTTGGAGAGGCTTTACTTGGACAACAATGGCTTCTCTGGCCATTTACCAGCCCAACTTGGTATGTTAAAACAGATCACATCCTTGCATTTAGAGAAGAACTCATTCACAGGACCAATACCTGTGGAGTTAGGTCACTGTCCTAGGCTGACAGATATGAATCTTGCTTCTAATCATCTAAGTGGCGCCATTCCAGACTCTCTAACTACGATGCCCTCTTTGCTGAACTCCTTGAATCTATCCAACAACAAGCTGACGGGCCCAATTCCCAGAAGCTTGGATGATCTGAAGCTTTCTTCGATAGATTTGTCCGACAACCAGCTATACGGGAAAGTTTCTTATGAACTTTTGATGATGGGAGGAGACAAGGCATTCTTTGGCAACAAGGGACTTTGTCTTGATCAAAGTATAAAATATGACACAAACAAGGAACTAATAAGTGTTTGTGGTGGGTATGCTACTCGCCGCAACAATTTCATTAACAGCAAGTTTAGTGTTCTCTGCATTGCATTCTTATGTGCAACTGCCCTTTTGGTCGGCTTATTGGTCTTGAGCTATTGGAAGAGCAAGCACACAAAGAAAAATGCTGAAAATGAAGAACACTCAGAGGATGCCAAGGGATTGGACCCAAAATGGAGGCTTGAGAGCTTCTTCAATCACATAGAGTTTGATGCTGATGAAATATGTGATCTAGATGAGGAGAATCTGATCGGAAGCGGAGGCACGGGGAAAGTCTATCGTCTTGATTTGAAGAAAGGTTGTGGCACTGTGGCAGTGAAGCAACTGTGGAAGGGGGATGCAGTGAAAGTTCTGGCTAGAGAAATGGAAATATTGCGGACGATCAGGCATAGGAATATAGTGAAACTCTATGCCTGCTTGACAAACGGAGGTTCAAATTACTTGGTCTTTGAATACATGGCAAACGGAAATCTTTTCCAAGCACTTCACCGCAGAATCAAATTTGGAAAGACAGAATTGGATTGGGATCAGAGATATAAAATTGCACTAGGGGCTGCTAAAGGAATATCTTATCTACACCATGACTGCTCTCCTCCTGTCATTCACAGAGATATCAAGTCTACCAACATTCTTCTTGATGAGGCTTATGAAGCCAAAGTTTCAGATTTCGGAGTTGCGAGAACTTCAGAACTTTCCCAAAGAGGATCTGACCTCAGCAGTTTTGCTGGGACTCATGGTTACATGGCTCCAGGTAATTTCATTAATTTTTAGGGCTTTTTTCTTCACAAAGAACCACCATTATTTTTCTTAAAAGTACTCCGTATGACTCAATGACTTCTAATAAAAGAATTAAAGTAATTTCTTTGATCCATGCTTTGATCCATTCTTTAAACACAAAACACACACTCCCATAGCACTTTCCACACATTATTCTGATTTACAGTAATTTCTTTTTAAATATGCAGAGATGGCTTACACACTAAGGGTGACAGAGAAAAGTGATGTGTATAGTTTTGGTGTGGTGCTTCTAGAACTGGTAACAGGAAGAAGCCCAATAGACGATGCTTATGGAGAAGGAAAAGACATAGTCTACTGGGTCTCGACCCATCTTGACAACCGTGAAAATATTCTGAAAATTCTTGACCCAAACATAGTTTCAGATGTAGTGCAGGATGGCATGGTTAATGTCCTGAGGATATCAACACTCTGCACCACAAAGCTTCCAAACCTTCGGCCGACGATGAAAAATGTAGTCAGAATGCTTGCTGATGCTGAGCCCTCAGCACTCAAGTCCACCTTGAATCATGAGAAAACTGGGAATGTCATTCAGTAGATCTCTACAATTCATTTCTCAGTTCTGAATATATAATACATAGACAGGACCACATTATGTCTCAATCCCAGGTTGGGTCTGTTTATTAGTACTGTGTAATATAGCTGTGTGCATGTGTGCAATTGTGGAAAAAGGAATGATATATTTCAATACACTATGAAATTCTTAGTGACCTCACTCCCCACCCACACACACCTTTTGTTTTTCTTTTCCTTCATAAGACAACCAATCCCAACAAGAAAAGTTAGCAAATGTTATTTAAATGTAGCAGTAAATAAAAACAAATGTTATTTTAATACAGGGAATGTAATGATGTAAAGCAAATGTAGAGCTGAGACGGAAATGCATAATAAAAAATTACAATTAATGTTGTTCCAAAGACCATTATGCCTTCTTAATAACCCAATTCATCAGCTTTATAGTTGATGATAAGATGGTCTCTGTATGCACTGCTTAGCCAAAATTCTTGCAATTACCCTTCTCTGTGAGCACAAAAAATTGTTTGTAGTAACTAGTAACTGTGCAACAAAAATGTATAATTCAATCAAGTAGAACAGCAAAATTCATTTAGCTAATATAACCAAACACTAATTAAAAAACAAGGCACTGCATAGTCAGATACAATATGGTCCAGATAGATAAACAACCAAAACTTAACACCATCTTAATAGTAATTTCAAGCAAAACATGGTATCAAATAGGGTTATTGCAATCTTTTGGTTTTACATTTGGGTCAAAAGGTCTAGTATATCCCTCCATCCGGCTCCATCATCAAAGAAATCAAGAGAATCCAAAGTAACTTGTTTACTGATAAACTGTTGTCATCTTAATACTCAAGGTAGGAGTCTTTCAAGTATAAAATGGGCTTTTCTGAATTTGGATATCAAACAGACCCAACTTAATTAAAATATAATATGTCAGATTGCTTAAGCCCCTCGACTAAGCCTCATTGTTATAGCAATGAAGCTACACCTTTGAAAAACCACACAGGGGAGGCTCAAGGCTTTGTCTCGTCGTGCAGTTATTAACACTAAAGTAAACATCTAAAGTTCTTAGTTTTTCGTCCGTAAGTTAAGCCTTAAAAATCTAACTAAAATCACCTTAAATATTTTAATAAAATATGTCTTACTGAACTAAAGTGAAAAGAAGGCCAATAAATATTAGAACTCTAATGCTCTATGCCTCATGCACTCTCTGTGACAGGGGAAATGGAAGTCTTGAGGCAATTTTCTATCGCCCCGCAGTGCGGTGAGCATTAGCCTTGGCTTGTTAGCAATATATTTAACGTGATGAAGTTTAAAACAACAGTTGACAAGCAATGGATTGGCAGAGATAATACCTTTCGACTTATATGTTAGTTTGCCTTTTCCCTTTCCATCTTCTCCGTTCCTAGATGTTTCATGATAGTTTGTACACTCATCAGAAACATCTTCAGAGTTCCGCCTTATCCAAATGTCCTGGACAGTATCAATATCAGAACGTCCTGTATCTTTGTCCAGAAAAACGAGGCTCTCTCTGTATGTGCTTGCATAGAAAGCATGCAAGTATGACCCACATATATCAAGATACTCAACCAACTGTTCCTCGTGATGAAAAAGAACTAAGCATTTGTCGCGATCAACGAATAAAGCTTCACCAGTTTTCCTAAAACCAACAAGCAACTGGAATCCCAGACGAAGATGATTGATGGAGAATATCTGAGTCCACGACTGAACATTCCCATACTCTTTCATAACCCATACACAACAATATGGGTTGGTCCCGTAAGTACTCTGCACAAAAAAGGCAAGTGACTCCTTGTAAGTTCCAACTCTCAAATCTGTAAAATATCTCAAACTTGCAGTTGCCACGCTATCAGGTACCAAGATCTCGCCAAACACCTCCTTACTCATATCAAAAGACAAAACAGAATTCTTGAAGTCTTCATCCATTGCAGCCCAATGAACAATCCCACCGACCAAAGCGGCAGGTATCGAGTCTCCTAAACGATAGCAAACCCCAGTTGCCTTGTGACTAATATCTCTCCACCGTCCTTTGCTCAACTCATAGAGCTCAACCAGTGGCTGTAGCTCATTAAAGGAGATGTTCGCAATCCTAACAACCTTGTAATCATTGGTTAATGGATCATACCCAAATCCGTGGGTATGGCTAAAAGCCCCATGAGAAGTAAATGTTACCCTAGGTTCAGGAAGGGCAACCGATTTTCCAATTGAAGGGTTCCATAGAATGGTAGTGAGGTCATCTTCACCCATGTCATCTGTTAAACAAATCAGCCCATTGCAAGAACCCACAATCCGATAAAAATTGTTCACACTAGTAAAAGGGAAGTCCAATTTCCTGCACCTTTCAAATGTATGATTATCATCCCGAAACAACTCATAACTCTGGTGTTTCTCGGTCACCCCCTCTCCTACGCAGTATCTAAGTAAAAGGTGGGTATTTTCGGAACCAAAATGGAGGTTTTCGGAAATGAAAAGGGGGCTGGAGATCAGAGCGTACCATGATTTGCAGACGGCGATGCACCGCAAAAGGGTGCTGACGGGGAGCCTGGAGAGTATGCTGATCAAGACATCTCTGGGCAAATGGTCATGCATTTGTCTCCCGTTCACGGTTATATGAGAACTCCCAACATCTGGAGCCGGAAACTGCAGTTCACGTCTTCAGACTTTCCGGTCATCGGGATTTTTGTTATCGTTCTCCATCCATGACGACCACACGCATTTATCTGCATTTTGAATGAATTAGGGAAAATGTGCATTAATTAATGGAGAGAATTTGAATCATTAATCATTAATGTATGCACCACAATTTGACTTTGCATCTCACTCCTTCACAATTTTTGGGCTAATAGGGTGCATACATTAATGATTTTAATAATGGGGTGCAAAGTCAAATATCACTCAAAACATGGGGTGCAAACTCAAATTCTCCCTTAATTAATCCCACACTCCCACGTGAAAAAGAAAAGAAAAAACTAAAAAATTAATTGGGCAAATTATATCATGAAATATTTAAGCAAGAATTTCGCTATTTCGATTTTGGAAAAGTTAATATTTTTCAATATGTATGTATGTATTGTTAAATTTTGTTATTCCTTATTTTTTTACGCAACAAAATACATATTATTGTACTAATTTTAATAATATGCAATTCCACCCTTGTCGGTTTAATGTAGGCGTTCGATTAATGTTTGGTTAGTCATAGTTGACTACCGACTTGAACCATTTGCCAGAAATTTGGTTACGTTTCCTTGTCCATTTGATCAATTTGGAAATATTTCAAAAAGTATTATATTAATAAATCAATTTATTTAAAATGTATTAGTTTCAAAAATGATTGATTTGTGGGGCCTATTCAAGAGGCAAGCAATGTGACTAACCATTTGACTATTACATGGATTAGCTAGAAAAAACTGATGTGGCAAGCAAAGCTACAATATGTTTAGTTAACTATTGTACATGTTCTAATCTCGTTCCTCCCAAAGTTTGTTGTTTGTGTTGACTATTGGGTTTTAACCAATTATTGTCAAAATAGACATGCTCAATTATTTGGCTTTTGTTGAAATTGTGGTTCCGAATTCATTTAAGATTAGAGAATACCTAATTTTATATTATTTCTGAACCATAGTTTCAATAGACGTAAAATGTTAAGCATGCCTATTTATATACGGAGTATTCTTTTTTAGTTTTGTAACTTTTATTTTAAAATAATAATCAACTACATATATTTTAGAGTTTGGGGTGAGATGGAGATATTGTTTCCACACTCACTATCACTCTGTCCAATTTTTAGAGGAAATAGGTATTTTCTCAATTTTTTTAAGCTCTCGCATATTCAGTGATTAGTCTCGCTCAAATTTGGGTGATTTATTCTATGTTTGATCAGGAAGTACGGAGGCTCGTTGGCTACAAAGAGTCTAGAAGGTCGGGGTTTGTGTCTTTTGATGTTGTTGGAATGTTTGTTTCTATGGTTTTAATATAAGCTCTCTTTTTTCACTTTTTTATTAAACAAAAAACACTTCTTTTATTAAACACTATTAACTTTTACTTTTTACAAAACAATTTTTACTCAAACTACTAGGCACTTTTTCAAACATTTTTATAAAAGTAGAATTGTTAACCATTTTTACCAAATACAATTTTTACTCAAACAATTGTTTCAATTTTTACTCAAACTTTTTTGTGTTAAACACTTTCTTCAAATTCACTTTAAAAATTCACTTTTTAAAAGTAGAAGCAACCACAAATACTCCCTAAAGTTATTGTACAAAACCATTCAAAGACATTTTTATATATTTCTTTTATTTCATTAATAAACTAAATTTATATGAATCATTCCATTACTTAGCACTTACACGCAATTCAGTCTCTGCAAATATTCAATCAGAAATTTATCAATTTAATCGAAATCAATCGATTCAAATAGTTTCAGTGTTACTAAATGGTTACTTGAATTCTTTTCTATTTCTATTGCATCTATTATTATGAAATTGACACTTTTAATACCTCCACTACATTTTCGTTGTTATAATAGTTGGAAGACCTCAAGTGTTAATAATACATAATTTAATAGCCCGTTCAAAAATTCAATCTCATTATATTTATTAAACCTAAAAAACAAGTAGAAAAAATCATTATTTTCTTATATTGTAGTTATGTATGTGACTTTCTCCGAAAAATTCATAGTGTAATCTTCTTATGTAATCATGTGTGTGAATTCTTGTCGTGCAACACACATGTACCT